CCCCAAAACCCCAAAACCCCAAAACCCCGAGTAGATCAAATTTGTATCAATATTTAATGAAGGTAGAATTATATCTTGAAAATTAGATTCAAATGTTATTGTTATTATTAGGGTTATTGTTATTAAGAGTCTTAGGAATTTTATTATTATCTCTATTTATAGCCATTAAAATTGAATATCCTGAATTTAACGCTCCGCCTTGATTGCTGCTTGTGTTATCATGAGAATTTCGCTTATCAGTGATATTTTTCTACTACCTTATTTATAACTGTTGATTTAAAGTCTGTTAAGGAGTTTTACCAGCTAATCCTATCTATATACGATTCCCTAGACTTTCTGTGAAATGACTGTTCTAAGTGCTTAAAGCTGTGTTATCGCTATGCTGTGTCTACATAGGCGGTAGATGAAATCCGTTGCCTGTAGTTCCAGGGGTTTGCTCTTTCCTAGTATTGGTATAAACAATATTCTTAGATTTAAGTCTCGGTATATTCTTTCCTGAATTCCATCCATTGTTATCTGCTAGCTCAAAGCTCTAAGTATTATTTAAACTTCCATTTGCACTAGTATTATTGTTGGATACAGTTGTAGATTATTGCACATATGGATGGCTGTTTCGAGACTTATTTGTATTGATTGTGGTTGAGGTATAGTTACTTTAGCTGAGAACGCTAGATTATTCCTATTGGTTCCTTAGTCTTATTTATTCCATTTTTTGGATATCTGCTTTGGTATCTTGGATACCGTTAATCGATTTGAACAAATTATTCATTTTTTGAGATTGAGATTTCTTGTCTGTTGTCCAATTTGATTAAGTTGCCTCTTATTATTAATAGCCTTGAGGAGTATACTCTGAACTGTATCTTAACTTTTCAAGATATTCGTGAAGCTTTCTGAAAGCTATAACTACGATTGAGATATTATCCATTGTTTTAAGACGAGCTGCCTCTCTTAAAATTTCATCAGCAGCTTTTCCACAGATTTGATGAATGCTGACTGAAGTGTTAAATTAATGTTCTTTGATAACACCCCAGACTATCTCCCCAATCATTTCATTATTGAGTTTGTCAAAAATACCATCACTTCCTAAAACAACGAATTCTAAATCTTAGCCTCCATTCCTTAGGTATGTCACATCTGGATCACACACAACAACTCCAGCCATCCCACCTAAGTCCGGGTATTTAGCTTCAATATCTCCAAAAGTACGCGAGACAGATAGTCTTCCAGGTGCTACTCTATAAGGACCCACAAAAGGATTATCATGATCCTGGTCTTTATCTAATATAAGTTACTCAATATTCACTTATTAGATAATTGGGGTCTGATTATTACCCTTAAATACAGTCTGAGATTGATATATCTTTCCTCCATTACTTATAATTCTATTGTATTCTCCTGGTTCCATTGGCTTATGATCTTTTGTCAATGCTTTTATATCCTTACCCATATCCCTTGACATCAGAGCTCGACTATCACCGACATTTATTACATATATATCCTCATCTACGCACATTATCATTAATCCACAAGATCCAGCTCTATTTATAGATGCTAATTTTTACTTTGTTTCAGCGAATTTCGCTTTATATTCATCATATAACATCGAAAGGAAATTCTCATCGCACGAATGAGAACCAACTCTTATTGCATTTTAGATATTATTGGGAAAATCAGGCAAATTTATTATATTGTTATGAAGATTATCTTTCAAGTACTCAGCGCATTTACTCCCTCCATGACCATCATATATTCCAAATATCTAAATGTTAGGCCAGTTTTCTACTACAGGTTTCTTGTTTGTAGGATGGATAACATTCAGAATTATAGCGATTCTATCCTCATTATACTATCTAACTAATCCAACATTTGTATTGGCTGAAAAAGCTTTAACGGTGCCAAATGATTTTGTCGATACTTTGCTCGTTTAAAAATTAGGAAGGCCTTAATTAATATTCTAGCCTAATGAGCTATCTCTTGCTGGTTTATTAATTTGGCTACTGAAGAAAAGTTTATTCTTGTGAGATATATTTGAATCCATATTATTTTTGCTATTGATGTGCTTAGAAAGGATATTATTGCTGTTTTTTATAATGACACCTCCTGTCGATTGATTTTGGTTATTAATCTGCCTCTGTCCTAGTTTAGCTACGATACCAGAAGACTTATTATTCTATGCCATCATTGCAGAACGCACATTAGGGTTCAAGATTTATGTGCTATTGTTGATCTTTGCTTGAATAGCCATAATATTTGGAGAAGTACTATTAATCATACTTGCAGTTAGGTTTTCAGTCTAATTATTGATATTCTGATAGGATTGCACTGACTACATAGGTAAATTCTAGCTTTACTCTAATTATGCTTGAGTTCTTAACCCTTATTCTCCGTTGAACTCAGTAGATTTAGTGAGATTGTTATTTAATGAGTAGACACCCTTTCCGTTCCGTGATTTGGTCGTAACCTTTAAACTAGGAAGGTATGATGGCTGCATTTTGCTTGTCTACTCAAGTTCATTTTAAATATTGCTTTAAATATTGCCACTGGTCTTCAGAGGGCTGAATGACTGCTTTATGTTAGTGTGATTCATTGTTTCCACAAAACTCTGTGACTCTGTATTTTGATCTATAAAATAATTATGTATTATTGATTTTGTAATTAATTTTAATAATGCTCTTACATTATCCGTTATTATTTCTAGCCAGTTTAATAGATCGTTTAGGAGTTACACCTATAGGTGTTAGAGTCTGTGGCAGTTGCCCAAGACTGCGAAACTAAACAGTCTGACCCTTTTAATTATTATCATTCATTTATTTCACTTTTATTATAATTATTTTCCACTATTTTCAATAGCATTTCTAACATGGGGTTTTGGGGTTTTGGGGTTTTGGGG